TCAAAAAAAAAAAAAAGACTAAAAATAAATAAATAAAAATAAAATAAAATGTAATGGCTGGGTGTTGTGGCACACTCCTGTAATCCCAGCACTCTGGACGCTAGAGCAGGAGGATCACCTCAGCAACACAGAGAGTTCAAGGACAGCTTGAACTGCCTCTGACTCAAAAAAAAGCTCCCTTGCTTCTCTGCTACTTCCCTGGTTGCTGCCTTCTGCCCACCATGAACTGTTTCTCCTCTGCCATGATCCCCTGCCTTGGAGCCAACCAAGTGTGAACTGAAACCTCTACATACTGTGAGTTACAATAAACCTTTCCTCCTTTGAAAAAAAAAAAAAAAGAAAGAAAGAAAAGAAAAGATGTGCAAGCCACCAAACTTAAGGAGCTCACAGTGGGGAACAGGGGATATAAGGAAATAATAACTGTTGTGACAAGTGGTAAAAGGACTAACACATAATACGCTTTCTTTTCGTTTGTTTGTTTTTGTTCTTTTTGAGACAGGGTCTCGCTATGCAGTTCAGGCTGCCCTTGAGCTCACTTTGTAGCCCAGGCTGGCCTCAAACTCGCAATAATCCTCCTGTCTCAGCCTCCCAAGTGCTGGGATTACAGGTGTGCACCACCACGCCCAGCACACAATATGCTTTCAAGATGAAAACTCAGCCAGCTCTGGTGTTAGATGTCCCATTGTGCTAAACAACCATAAAGTTAAAATTTCCCCACCCTTCAAACCTAAATTTTTTTTAAAATACCCAGATCTCTAGCCACTTACCCCTGCTGCACAGGCTGTAATTGCAAGATCACTTGGGTCTTTGTGTCTTCTGGGTTCCCCCCTTCATTTCCTTCAGTGGGGACCACAACAACATCTCCCACTGGGACACTCACTTCTGCATTCGCCATTTTTCACATGAAGTCAGGTCACCGGGGCTGCTGGCAGACACAAGGAGCACGAGTAACTTCATCTGCTTCGAAAGATGGCAACCGTAGGAAAGGCACGCCAGGCTGATAACTACGGATTCTGTGAGTACCTTGGAGGCCGCGACACTCTGAGAAGGATGGCTGGACTGTGAAAGAGGTGGATATGGGCTCTAACTTTGTCAGAAATGCTTTTGCACTGCAGCGCATGCCTATAATCCCACCACTTGGGAGGCTGAGGCAGGAGGACTGCCGTGAGTTGGAGGCCAGCCTGGGCTACATAGTGAGTTCAGAGCCTGGAACTACATAGCAAGGCCCAGTAAAAAAATAAAATGAAGAAGAAAACACTTCTGCTATTGTAGGTTTTCTTGTATCTGTGATTCCTGCCAGACCCCACTCTGCCCACTCCTAAGAACTGGGAGCATCTTCTCAACTCGGAGTTTAGTAGCTTGGGACCAACAATACTCGGAACATACACACCACAGAAACTGACGAGCACCACAAACCAGGACATTCGTTTTCTTTTTTTTTGGAGAACTGGTGTATAGCACACCACTAGTTTTACCCAAACAGTAAGTAGCCCTGGAGGGTAAGAATCATACCTATTTTCTGTGCAGCTAGCTGCTATACCTCATCAAGTACGATGTCTTCTGTCTTTTGCAATATGGAGAGTGGGTATGGTATGCTAGTTACGCCCTACCTGAACTGAGCTCTGTGGAAAGGGGAAGATGACTTGCACTACATAGTTCTTTATTTTTTTTTTCCCCAGTACTGGCGACTGAACACAGGCCCTTTACCCTGAGCCATAACCAGGGTCTCACTAAGTCACCTAAGACTGATCCTGAACTTGTGACCTTTCTGCCTCAGCCTCCCACAGAACTGGGATTACAGGCATGTCCAACACTGCTCAGTTTGAGGAACTTGATACCTCTTTGCCTCAGACTAAATAGACAGGTGACCTCACCTGACACCTCCCTTGCAGAGTCACTGAAGGATCTAACATCCAGCACCATGTGCTCCTTGATTTTAAAGCACATAACTCAGCCAGGCAAGGTGGTATGCGACCGTAATCCCAATACTCGCCTGTAATCCCAGAACTCGGGAGGCCGAGGCAGGAGGATTGCTTTAAGTTTGAGGCCAGCCTGGGCTACATCGTGAGTCAAGCCAGCCTGAACTACATAGAGAGACACTGTTACAAAAAAAATAAAATAGTATGTAACTCAAAGCCATTGTTCAAAATTTTTTCTTTAAGCTACTGGGAATTGATTTTTTTTTTCTTTTGTATTTTTAAGACAGAGTCTTTTTGTTTTGGTTTGGTTTTTTTTTGGTTTTTCTCTGGTACCAGGAACCGAACTCCCGACCTTGTGCTTGCCAGGCAGGTGCTTTGCCGCTGAGCTAAATCCCCAGCCCCAAGACAGAGTCTTGCTATGCAGTTCAGGCTGGCCTTGAGCTCACTTTGTAGCCCAGGCTGGTCTCGAACTCAAGGCAATCCACCTGCCTCAGCCTCCTGAGTTCTGGGATTACAGGAGTACACCATCACGCCCAGCAGTATTGGGAATTGAAAACATGGCCTCATGCACTCTAGGCAAGTTTTGTACCACTGAGCTACCTCCCTTGTCCCAATCTTAGTGAAGACTCAAAAAGTCCCAAAATATCCTGCAGGTGTTAGCTTTCACAGTTGAAAAGAGTCATTTAAACAGGGCATGGTGGCGCACCCCTGTAATCCCAGCACTCAGGAGGCTGAAGCAGGAGGATCGTTGCAAGTTTGAGGCCAGCCTGAACTATAGAGCGAGAACCTGCCTCAAAAAGACCAAGAAAATCGCTTCTCGGCCTTTTGGCTAAGATCAAGGGTAGTATCAAAAGGACCAAAAAAAAAAAAAAAAAAAAGAGGAAGAAAGAAAAGAGTCATTTAAACCTGGAGTGATGGTGCGTGCCTGTAATCCTGGCACTCAGGAGGCTGAGGCAGGAGGATCACTGCACATTCAAAGCCAGGCTGAGCTACATAGCAAGAAAAGGCCAAGCAGGTGTGGTGGCGCACACCTGTAATCCCAGCACTGGGGAGGCTGAGGCAGGAAGATTGCCTCAAGTTCGAGACCAGCCTGAGCTAAAAGTGAGCTCAGGCTAGCCTGAACTGCATGGCGAGACCCTGTCTCAAAAAGACAAAAAATAAATAAATAAATAAATGAAAGAAAGAAAGAAAGAAAAGCCCAGGCGTGGTAGTGTACACCTGTAATCCTAGCACTTGGGAGGCTGAGGAAGGAGGATTGCCACAAGTTTGAGGCCAGCCTGGGCTATGTAGTAAGTTCAAGGCCAGCCTGAACTACATGGCAAGACCCTGTCTCAAAAAACTTCAAACAAACAGAAAGACAGAGAGTATAGATAATAAAAGCACTTTATTTACTTAAATATGTGACTACATAGAGGGGACCAGAACGGCACCCGTGCCAAAACAGCAGATGCACGCTGACAGATGTCACTGGTGGTCACAGGACTTACACATTTCTCAGCTCTGCCACAGAGCTCGTCTGCCTACTAAACGCATCCTTAGCCGTGCTTCTCACAGGCAGCCTCCTTGGCCTCCGAGTACTTTTCCAGTTTTATCTGCACACCCAAAAACTGTGTATCACACTCCAAGAATGTGAAGCTCCAGCCACACCACCCACCCACTGTGCTCAGAACAGGCACTGAGATAATTTCGGGTTTCCGTGCCTCTGTCATTCCCTAAGCCCAAAACAACTTTCTCCTGCACTTCCTCTCCCTCCGAGGCTCAGTTCAAAGCCCTACACCGTCCATTCTCTTTTCTATGTTCCCCCAACGCTCGGGCTGCAGGTCCCTCCTCACGCTCACACTGCGCCCCATATCGCAGTTCAGTGAACATGTATCTGCACGGTTGCACACGACCTTCTGTGAACACAGGTGCCGTCTCATCAGAACACTGTGCTCTCCACAGCCCTGCTCATCTTAGGCACTAATATATGTTGGTGGTCAACCTGCTTGTATATGGCCTAGTTATAATTCCTCACATCTGACTTCTGCACTCTATAATCCCACATTCAATTTTCCATGAATTGTACACCTCCATATTCAGTCTCTACAATGTCTTATGCACACATTAAGCTGTGCCTCATGCTCCCTCTCAAACCTGCTCCTGTATTTCCTATCTCAGTAAGTGGTGCTCCGTCTACCTTTTTTTTTTTTTTTTTTTTGAGACAGGGTCTCGCTGAGTAGCCCAGGCTGACCTTGAACTTTCAGCAATCCTCCTGCCTCAGCCTCCTGAGTGCTGGGATTACAGGCCCTCACCACCGTGCCCGGCTCCTTCTACTCATTTTCACAAGCCAGAAACTAAGGAGTTATTTCTGATTCCTCTCTTTTCCAACCCAATCAAGCATATACCCTATCCATTCTAATATATATTTAAATCATCCTCCCATTCTCCATCTGTGCTGCCATCCTATCTGGGCCACCACACTGTCACCTGGGCTCTTCCAGCTGCTCCTCGTTATCCTGATCTCTGGTCTTGGCTCCACCTGTACATTCTCCACACAAGAGCCAAGCTGATCCTCCTAAAGGCCACGGGCCATTCTGCACTTAGAAACCCTTCAGAGTATTCCGGTGCTCCGAGCACAGAGCCAACGCCGCCATGTGCCTCCCTGCCGGCCCCCGCCTCCCCCTGCACGCCTCCCTCTCTGCTCTTCCCACACCGTGTGCCCCTAACGCTGTTTCCCAGCTTCTCGAGTATGCCCCCACTTGAGCCTTCACACGTTTCCTCCACCTAAGCTTCGCTCTCCCTTCCTTACTGGTGAGTTCCTGCTCACCTTATTATGTGTTTAAGTATCACTTTCATGAGGAGCCTTCTGTGACTTCCTGGACTAGGTCTGAACTTGTGTTCCTGTTCCCTCTGCACCTACAGTGTCCTTGTCACAACCCCCAAGCCACTGCATCAGCCTCTCCCCACCTGGGAAAGCACTACATTTTTCTTTTCTTTTTTTTTGGTGGTACCAGAGATTGAACACATGGATATCGCACTGGGCTACATCCCCAAGCCCTTTTTACATTTTTTAAGACAGGGTCTCACTAAGTTGCCCAGCGTGGGCTGGAACTTGTGCACCTACCGCCTCAGACTCCCAGAGTGCTGGATTTGTAGACATGCACCATCACATTAAGCTGTGACAGGGCCATGTTATATTGTCCAGGCTGGTCCTGAACTTCAAGCATCCTCCTGCCTCAGATTCCTGAGTGCTGGGATTACAGGTGTGTGCCACCTTGCCCAGCTACCTCAGCTTTTCTAAAGAAACTTGGCATATAGCAAGTATACAATAAGCTGGGCAGGGTGGTACAGGTGTGTGATCCCAATACTATGGGAGGCTGAAGCCTATAGGAGGACCACAAGTTTGAGTAAGGCCTGAGCAATTTAGCAAGACTGCAGTATCTCAAAATGTAAACCAGGCATTGTGCCACACGTCTATAATTCCAACACTCAGGAGGCTGAGGCAGGAGGATCACCACAAGTTTAAGGCTAACCTAGGCTACATATCAAGTTCAATGTCAACCTAAACTACACAGTGAGACCCTGTCTCAAAAAAAAACCAAAACAGCCAGGTGTGTAGAGTGGCGCATGTCTGTAATCCCAGCACTCAGGAGGCTGAGGCAGGACGATCGTGAGTTAGAGGTCAGCCTGGGCTACAAAGTGAGCTCAAGGTCAGCCTGAACTGCACGTGAGACCCTGTCTCAAAAAGACAAACAAAAAACAAAACAAAAAAACCCCTCTGACTACTGAATACACTCCCAGCCTCAAAATAAAACATGAAAAACAGCTGGCGATGTAGCTCAATGTGAAGGCCCTAGGTTTTAACAACCACTACCACAAAAAGAAAACAAGTATACAATAAATTTTTGTTCCATGAATGACATCTTATTCTTAAAGACTTCTAAAGTTTTCCACTTTCCTAATGTACGGGATATAAACTTTGTTAGGCATCTAGGCTAAACTGCATAGTTTATAGCCCATCATTATGAGCAGCTCAATAAGTGATCCTCCTGCCTCAACCTCCTGCAGTGCTGGGATTGTAGGTGTGCACTACCACACCCGGCTCCAACAAACAGTGAGAGTTCACTACACTGTACAGAGTCAATTTCCTTAGATGTGAAAGAGTATAACAGCTACTCTTAGGGAACAAAAAAAAAAAAAAAAAAACCAGGAAGAGATCCATGACACAGTCGTATATTAGATGAAAAATTAATTATGCAATATTATAGTACACAATCTGAACTTCTGCAAGTTAAAGGTTTAAAACTAGAAGAAGTGAGAAAGAGAATAAATAGCTGATTCATTTGGCTATTTGCAACAAAACCAAACAATTAGGATCCTAAATCTAGAAAAGGTCAAAAGAGCATGCGTGGGGCCGGTGATATAGCTCAGCGGCACAAGAGCCTGCCTGGCAAGCGCAAGGTCCTGAGTTCGATTCCCAATACCAAAAAAAAAAAAAAAAAAGAGCATGCATGGTAGCACATCCTGTGATTCCCAGCATTCTGGGAGGCTGAAACAGGAGGATCACAAATCTGAGCCCAGTCCGGGCAATTTAGTAAATTATTAAGACTCTGCCTCAAACCAGGCATGGTGTCATATGCCGGTAATCCCAGCACTCCAGAGGTTGAGGCAGGAGGATCATTGCAAATTCGAGATCAGCCTGGGCTACAAAGTGAGCTCAAAGCCAGCTTGAACTACATAGCGAGACCCTATCTCAAAAAGAAAAAGAAAAAAAAAAGACTGCCTCAAAATAAAAAATTTATTTATTTAGTCTTTTTGAGACAGGGTCTTGCTATGCAGTTCAGGCTGGCCTTGAACTCACTTTGTAGCCCAGGATGGTCTCAAACTCGCAACAATCCTCCTGCCTCAGCCTCCCAAGTGCTGGGATTACAGGCATGAGTCACTACACCCCGCTCAATAAAAAATTTTAAAAGGGCTGGATATATAACTCAGTGCAAAGGCCCTGGGTTCAATATCCATTACTGGAAAAAAGAGAAAGAAAGAAAAAGAAAAAGAATGATATACACATACAAATATCATCAAATTCTAGAATAACTGAACCAGGTAGTGCACACCTGTAATCCCAGCACTCGGGAGGCTGAGGCAGGAGGATCATTGCGAGTTTGAGACCAGCCTGGGCTACCAAGTGAGCAAAGCCAGCATGAACTGCATGGTAAGACCCTGTCTCAAAAAGACAAAGAAATAAATAAAGTCAACCATGGGCCATGAAGATGGTTCAGCGGGGGCTGGGGATTTAGCTCAGCGGCAAAAGCGCCTGCCTGGCAAGCGCAAGGTCGTGAGTTCGGTTCCCGGTACCGGAGAAAAACCAAAAAAAAAAATAAAAAAATAAAAAATAAATAAAAAAGATGGTTCAGCGGCACAGCGCCTGCCTGGCAAGTGTAAGGTCCTGAGTTCGATTCCCAGTACCAAAAAATAAAAAATAAAAAAATAAAGTCAATTACAAAACTAGAGTAAACTAAGTAACAATCATAGGTAACATTTACAGGCTATTCATTGATTGTAAACACTATTCTGTTACTAGAGAAGCTGCCAGAACACCACTCCAAGGTCCCAAGGTTGTGAGAGGCAACAGGAGTAAAATATGAGTCCCTAAGGTATTCAACAAGAACTCCATCAATCGATCATTCACAATGTCATAGAGGGGACTCCGTCTCAGGCTAAAAGATAAAAGTTGAAATTATAAGAAAAAAAAGTTGAAATTAGGTCATTCTAATTCTGCCTCTGTAACCCACTAAATTGACTATTTTTTTTTGCTCATTTAAAGCACATATTTGTACTAATAAAGTCTGTAAGATTATCGTATACTAAATACTAGTGGGGTTTTTTTGAGGGGAGGTGGTGGTGAGACAGGGTCTCATTTATTATATATTCAGGCTGGCCTTGAACTATGTAGCCCAGGGTGGCTTCAAACTACTGGTGATCCTCCTGCCTCAGCCTCCCCAAGTGCTGATTTTATAGGCTGGGCTGCCATGCCCTACTAACGACTACAGTTTTGTTTTTAGTTTTTTTTGTTTTTAATTTAAAGCCTATTTAAAATTTAAAACCCAGGGCTGATGTTATAGCTCAGCGTAGACCACTTGCCTTATCATATTTGAGGTCCTGGGTTCTCTCCCCAGCACTGGAGGGAGGGGAGGGACCCCAAGCAAGATTATTACTCCAAAAAGTTGCTTTAAATTTAAAAAAAAAAAATAGCAGCTTAGGTAAATTGATGGTTTACAGAAGTAGAAATAGAAGGATGCTTCTAATTTCAACCTTTTAGCCTGAGACTGAGCCCTTCTACGGCATTGTGAATAAGTGGTTGCCAGAGTTCTTAATGAATACCTTCCTCAGCAGGGACTCATACTTTGCTACTGACCCTCCCACACCTTGGAACCTGAGAGGAATGTTCTGGCTGCTTCTCTAACCTCCCAAGACTATGGAAGATAATTATAATCATCCACAAGGTCTTCAATGTCTGTCAGAGACACAGGTCTGACTCTACACGGCAATTCATACATTCTTTAGAGAAGCAAGTTTGGGTCGAATATCTCTCATTACCCTAAATACCGTATTTCTGATGATTAACCTGAAACTGGATCTACAGACTACACTGGCTAAATGCAAGGTCATCTCTGAACGGAGGGTAAACTGAAAAGTACCTCTTGTTTATAGCAACAAAAACTCCCAAGGCAAGTGAGTTGGTCCTTTGAGATTTCAAGGAAGGGACCTTAGAGTATTTCTGTGAAATTGCAAAACACTAACTCTAGGGGATGCACATAAAGGAAATACAGTATATATACTAGATTGAACAAGAGCCTTCTCAGCTACATTCACAACACTTTATTTTTGAGCGTGTTTCCCTAAATCACTAAATTTCCCAGCTGGCGGGGCATGATGGCACTCGCCTGTAATCCTAGCACTCAGGAGGCTGAGACTGCAGGGTGCTTTCAAATTTAAGGACAGTTTGGGCTACATAGTGAGTTTAAGGCCAGTCTGAATTACACAGTGAGACTCTGTCTCAAAAAAATAAAAACCACTAAATTGCCCAGGCTGAGTTTAAATTTGTGATCCTCCCAAAGTGCTGGGATTACAGGTCTATGCCTCCACATCCAGCTGGAAATGGTCAAATTCATATGAAAAGAATTACTTGGGAATTAGGGGTATAGCTCTGTGGTACAGCACAGGCTCAGGACGTCTGGGCCCTGAGCTCCATCCCTAGCACCAAAGCATAGTAGTTACTTTCAAAGACAAGACATTTTGTGCTGGGCAAGGTGGAGCATGCCTGTAATTCCAGCACTGAGGAGGCTGAGGC